TCTCTCTCTCTCTCTCTCTCTCTCTCTCTCTCTCTCTCTCTCTCTCTCTCTCTCTCTCTTAGTATTAGTTTGAAAAATGAAAAAGAAAGAATGGAAATTAAATTTATATCAATGTTGTCTTGTAAGACTTTATAATGATGAAGTTATGATAATGATATTGAAATAATATACTATACTATATTGTATATTTTCAAACATATAATTTCAACAAACGAAAAGTGATTGTCTAAATATGTATTTATTTTTATTATTGCATATTTTATACGCTTACATTTTGAATTTTATCCCACACAGTATATTAATTGTTGCAAAATATAATATAATATATTCATTATAAACAAGAAATAAAATTTTGTAATAAATAATTTTTTAAATAATATATATATATATTAAAAATAAATATATTATTAAATTATTAATATAAATAAATAAATATATTAATATTCTATATACAAGTAATAAATATAATATATTATTACATTTGCATGAATGAGTCACAACTAAGATATATAAATGTAATATGTAAAAATATGTAAAAGATATGTAAAAATTTTTTGTTCGTTGACAAAGTAAGGTTAGATTAGATTAGATTCAATATAGATCACACGAAACACGTGAAATTTTTATAAAATGAAAAAAAATTTTTTGTTTGGCATACGTTATATTTTCGGTATGAATTGCCATTAATATGCATAAATATTTTTGGATTTGCATTTTTCGATATCCAAAAATTCTTTTCAATTTTTAACCAAGTATATTCAAAATATGACATATATTTTCATTCAAATTAAAATTATTTAAATTTTTAATTCAACAAAATTCATTTAAAAAATAAATAGAAATAAATTAAAAACATAAAATCACGATAATTTATTTATATTAAATGAAATTTATTAAATTTATTATTATTTATTAAAAATTATTAAACGAAAATTTATATTAATTCGATTAAACAAAAATTCGATTGAATCACTTAACAATTGAAATTATCAGAATACTATCACAATATACATTTCAAGAAAGTTAATTTAAGAGACTTGGAAAGCTGCGAGTGACAGAATTTTTAATATTAGTGTTGATAGACGTGAAGATGGCTTTTAACGTCAGTTATATTGAAGGACTGCCAACAAGACGAATATATCAACGATAATTGACCTCAAATTAACAAATAGTGTAACACTTCGAATAATAATAAAATTGAAGTGACATACGAAAAACATGTCATCGAATATATTACGTCAAAAATGTGTGTGTGTGTGTTCATAGATCTTTAGTTATTTTTCTATTCTTATCGGATAAATGTCGATTTCATGTCCTAATGCCACGTGTCTATCTCAATGTAACAGTAACTATAGCGCACAGTGCTGAGAATAAATAAGAAACGAAATGAAAAATGTATGATCGAAAGTTGTTACTGATTAGTAGTTTTCGAGATGAAATGTGAATAGTTCACGTATTGTATTTTAATTGATTTATTTTAATTGTATGTTAATTAAATGCAAGATTTTTATGTATTGTAATATATATATATATATCGAATGTAATAGTATTATGTATAAGTAGATGTAACAATATAGATTAATATAACAGTAATAAAATATTAGATATTTATTTCTTTTTCAAAAATGAGATATTGTTATTATTAAATTGTATTATTTTATTTTTTAACAAAATTGAAAATTTTTTAAATGTAAGAAGAAAAATAAAATTGCACTAATGTGTAATAATGGAATACGAATTTTTTCTAAGCCAAATTTTTTTTAAAAGTTTGGTCAAACGCAAAAATAAAAATAAATGAATTGTAATAATAGTGGAATTATGGAATTTTTTAAAAAATTTAAAATTAAGTATAAAAATAAAAATAATTACAAATAATGTAGTATAAAATCTTTTATACAACTTTTTATCTATGTTTTACTTTCTTTTTTCCAGTTAAATTTTTTAAAATTATAAAAGCAAAAATAGTTGAAATCTATTAAATTTAAGTCCGATTAAAAATTTAAAATTTTCTCTGCAACTTTTATATTAGAAACTATTTTTTTCTGAATATTTCAAAATATTCAACTTTTTTCAAAATCAAAAAATTCTTAAAAACAAAACTTTGAAAAAAAAAAAATTAACAATCCATTTAAATAACTGAATCCAAAAAAAATATACACTTACACAATTCGAATTCCACTTCGTCGAAGATATCCCATAGATATCCCATTAAATCGAATCGAAATCACAAATTCGTGTGTATATCGATATCATTCTTTCGATTTCACGATTTTTCTTCGCCGATCGTTAAAATCAACATTGTTTGTGTCGGTTACCATGCCATAATGTTAAACAATTCAAGAAAATCCTATCACTCGATATCGATTGGTTACGAGAAATGCTTTTAACGAGGACCATCGCTTGGACGAGTATCAACACTTTTATATGAATGTCTTTGATATTAATCAAATTCGAAAATTTTTCACGATTTGCAAATTCAATTCAATTTGATTTGTTTATTTTGAAAAATAAGGGAAGATGTTTGTTAAAGTTATTATTTCAAATTGTAAGCTCAAGTTTGTCACTGTTAACAAGCACTCACTGTGGCCATATTAGTTTTGATATTAGCACAATAATTTTGTATTCGATTATCGGCCGACACGATGCAGCAGGAATGTGCTTAGCTTCGAGAAACTTTCAATAGTTCTTCCATTAAAAAGTTATAAATAGGTAATAGGTAAATTGAGATATCAAATTTCGATTAATTATTAAAGTGACTCGTTGAAAATCGAAAGAAATTAAAAATTTACTTCAACGAACATTATTGAAAGAAAAAAATTCATATTTTCACTTGAAAAGCATTTGCAATGTACATATAATAATGCATTTTAAAAATTTAATAATCTTGTTTTGTTTCATTGTCAAATATGCTAGAAACTAACTTAATTTTTAATTGTTCTATTGAAACTATTATATGAGTTAATAGATAATTCAAAAAATTCACAAATTTAAATTATTTATTGAAATGAAATAAATAACAATAAAAATTAAAATAAATTTTAAATATTTTTAAAAATGCCACAATTTTAAATAATAATCACAAATATTATTTACTAAGAGAGAACGAAAAACAAAACTTCATATCATAATTCGCACAGCGAGACGTCAATTTGATGAACGAATTCAAATCACGCGAGTGACAACCGTCGATTCGAACATGGCGGACAGTGCGAGACACGTGTTTGCGAATCACGCTTCGATTCGAGGGTGAAATGGCAGACGAATTATTCGAAACGCGCGCGACGCTTACTCGACCACGTCTCGCACTTCAATGGTGACGCATTCTCGCGACCACGACGTCGACGCTTCTGACGACGCCCACCGACCGCCTAACCGACAATCCTACACCTGCTGAGATAAAAAGAGGGACGAAAATCCCAAGATTCGATCCTGTATCCGAAAAAAAAGAACAAGACTTTGATGTATGGAGCTTTTTTCTTGGAAACTTTCGACAAACGAAAATATATTACGGTTTATTGTGTTATGGATTTAGGGTTTATAATTTTAGTATTATTTTGTTATTTTACTATTTTTTTATATTATGGAAATTATATGTACATTGTATACCGTATTTGAATGTTATGTAAAAATCGTATATACACTGCAAAGTGTATATAGATGTTTGAATATATAGAAATCGTGTATACGTATATTGTATAATGTATATATGTATTTGAATACTGTATGAAAATTGTGTATATATTGTATAATATGGTGGATTTATAAAATATGAATTTTAATAATAAATAAAATTAATATTTTCTTGAAATTTATTAATGAATTTATTACTTATTTTCGACATAAATATAAAAAAAAATATATGAATGATGTAACATTACTGAAAATATGTCGATTATGATGTCATTTCAGACAGAAACAAATACATTCTTAGTAACAATGACCCAGTTTACAGGGAGGAATTACATAGTCAAGTTTCAATCATGTGAAATTATTTTTGATTAGAGATACAGAAATATCTAAACAATAGTTCTGTACGTATTAATTGTGTTTTCAATTTTTTTATAGAAAATAAATAAATAATTGACAATTATGACGTTAAATTCTAATAAATCCTGGAAATTCTTAAGATTTATATTTCACCATAGTTGACTGCTGATAATATATAATGAGAAATAATCTTAGTATTAAATATAATATAACTATATAACTAATATAACCATATAACTATCAAATATTTTTTCCTTTTCATATGATTTATATTTTTCCAGATTTTTAACCATTAACTTTCTATTTTTGCTTAATACAAGAATATTTATATATTTATATGTTTATTTAAACTTTTAAATCATTATTCATGATTATGATACATATTAAAAGTATTAAATTCATGAATAATTTCACTAATTACATTAATTTAAATAACAAGAATTTCTAATGTTTAGAAATTTCAGTGAATATATTTATCATGAAAATTTCTCTAGATAATAATAATGAAAAACGAGAATTCCCAGAATCGCGTAGTGAATATAAACAAAAATTCTCGTGAATCGCAATATATTAGAATCAAAATTAAGTAAAATTAAATTTGAAATAATAACAAAAATCAAATAACAATTAACATCGAAAAATTTTAAAATGTTAAAGAAAAATTATAAAATAATCCTAATCTAAATTATGGAATAAAAAAATAAGTATTAACATTCACTGCTCATTATTTATGTAAAAACCATAACAATTCATTAATACGAAAAAAACATAAGACTTACCATTCATAGATAACACCAAAGTATTTAGTAATCCAATAGCTTCAGCCATCTTGACAACGAAATACCGGCATTTACGAATAAAACGCGCGAAACTATCACACACACAAATAAAATATCGTAAAAATGAAAAATTATCACACTCGTGAATAAATGTATATAATTTGAACATGCATAAATAAACGTGTTTTAAAATTATACAAATAAGACACAAATTCTATAAACACTCGCGAATAAATACATATTAAAAAATCGGAAATAATATGTCAAACATTTGCAAATAAAATTGGTAATTCAAATTCGTAAATAAATATGCGAATTAAAAACACTCGTAAAAAAACACAAGTACTTCAAATATTTATGACTAAAAAATAAATATTTTAAATTCGAAAATATTTTAAACTCGTGCACAATTTGAAATTATATGCGAAATAAAACGCGTATAGCTCCAATGCGTCTAAACAGTATGGCAGTCGAAGCGTAACTGCCTCTCCCCACCCAGCGATCGTAACTCTGCGGGCAAAGTCGTGCGTACCAATGTCGATAATGGCACAAATATTTATAGATTTCGAACGAATATTTTAATATGAAATATTTAATTATAATATATGAAATAATTATTTTATAATTTTTATTTTATAATTTATTGATATAATATAATGATATATAATATTATAATTCTCAATATTTCCGATTTTATATTAATTTATATTATATACAATATAATTTTATATTAAAATTTAATGTAAAATTATATTATAAATAAAAAATAGAACAAATATTCTACTCTAAAATATCTTGTAGATAGATATAAAATATTGTATTTTCAATATCAATATATTGTATATTTAATATTGTATATTATTATATATTATATATTGTATATTATATATTAAAATATATTATATTTAACATAAATTATTGTCTTGAACATACATTCCGATTGACAATATAATATTTATATTTTTAAGATAGATAGATGTAAAAATTAAATATCTAGAGAAAAATAATTCGTGAGAATTATAAGACTATCTTTAGCATTTAAAAGATGGCGTCTATAGCGAATTTTATTCTATTTATCTTTTTCTTACAAATTATTTCTGTCATTTTCTTTCTTCCATCTTTATGAGTTTGATTTGCGACACTCTAGAGATGGCGCTGATTTCAATATTTGTACCTTATCTCTATCCTTTTTACTATTTGTTCTTCTTGTCCATCCTTTGTGAAATATATACGTTGAAAACAAACTCTGATATCCGATTAACTTTCAAGATATCTTTTAGACAAAATATTTTTAAAAAATAAAAAAATAATGACTTCTCCGTGAATTTTTTTATTTTATTTTATAAAAAAACTTACACAAATTACTTCGCTCAGTTTCTTAATCTGTGTTTTGTATAATACATTATCAATATTATTAAATATGTTAGACATGTTACAAAAATATTTCTCCGACATATACAATGATCATATTAATATTTAAATTAATATCAAAAATATACGCGATTATTATAATTTAAAAAATATACTCGAGAACGGTTTTACTCATTCATAAATATTTATATATGTTGTTCATTGTCATGCTTTTTTTTGCGTCGTACCGATTTATCTCATTCATTGCGTTAGAACTGAGATTTTTGCTATTAAAATTTTTCGTTCCCAGTGAACGTAAAATGTTTATCTTATCCATTTCTTTTCGAGGAGTAAATTTTTTTTGTTCTATATCATCCTGTATACTCGGTGTCGAATATTTATTATAAGTATATTTTTCGAATTGATCCAATACTTTCTCATCTAATGACATAATACCCCTACTTTTACTCAACTCTATCGATTTTTTCAAATCTGCGCTTAACCCTTTTAAATATCTCGGTGTGGCAATTGCACGCGCCCGTTCAATCTTACTAACAGAATCGACCGATTTCGCGGTAAGAGGTTCAGATTTTTCCGATAATCGATCGAGAGCAGCTTTGTTGGCATGACCGCTCTTCGGCGCCCTCGGATGATCCGACATCTTTCGACTGATCTCTTGCGCGAGAGTGTCGCCGCCACAAGATTTCGGCTTATCGATGCAACTAAAGTTGTAATCGAATATACTTCTAGGGCTACGAATACTTTTCAAGCTTGCCTCGATCAAATCAGCCAGATCAAAGCTATCGTCCTTTACGGCAGAATTATCGATTAACAAATCCGAAGTTGTACTCAAAATCGTGGACTTGCTTTGTCCAATTTTTTTCGTTTTGCCTTTCGATTTAAGTTTCGGTGTCACTGATTTCTCATTAGTTTTAATTTTCGGTGTAGGTGTACTTTTTGGCTTTGTATTATTAACCTTATCATCCATCATTTTGATACTCACGTTGCTAGTCTTCGTGTCGATTTTCTTTACTTTATTCTGAAATTTATTCATTTTTATCTCACTAGTTTTATTACTAATCAGATCTTTGTTATCTGTTTCACGTTTAGACTCGAGTTTATTAATTATCGACTGATCTCTTAGAATTTTTATATTCTTCTGGCCGATAGTCTGTAAAGACTTAAGGATAGGTGTTTTCTTTTCTGAAGTCACTTTTTCTTTTTCGATCGTAGTAGGTTCATTGAGATAATTATCGGACAATTTTCTCGAAAGAGTATTGATATTCTTTTTACGATTAATGTCCTTCTTTGCAATTTGATTTTCCAATGGAGCAAACTTTGACGTTATTTTCGTATTCGAAGTGGAAACTTTTATGGAGTTTTCTATTTTTGTGTTTGCTTTCGCCAAGTTCTCTATTTTTGGATTTCCTTTCATAGTAGTTTCGATTTTTGAATTAACCGACTTCTGTCTCGCTGTTGTACGAGGACGATTCATCTGAAAGGGCCGATGCTTGTGTCAATGAGCGATGTCAATGAATGAAATTATTTTTTATTACTATAGTGAAATTACTTTTTGTTCGAAAATTTCTACTTGCTCTAATTGAAATAGTTGTTTCCAATTGCACGGAATATATAAATTTTCGTACTTGTATTTTTTTAACGGATTGTACTTCTTGTACAATGCTTCCCACACGAAATTATCATCAAAGATCTAAGTATTAAAAAAGAAGTGAAAAAGTGGATGAAAACGAATTTAGATATTAAATTTATGTTACCTCTTTAGAGATGTGCGAAAGTGATGTTAATTTGATGATATCTTTTACAGTGAGATATTTAATCAATTTATTGATCAGACACTTTGGCAAGGTGAGTAACGTATTCCTTCCAGAAGTTATATTTCTCACGTGTTTTAAAAAATATTCACCTATGAAAATTGTAATGATTTATAAATTTAAAAAATATGATTTATAAAATTAAATAATTTAAAAATTTGCAAAAATATTTTATATTAAAATTAATTTAATAATATTTCACAATTCGATATAAGCATTCGACATTAAAAATATCATATCAAAATATGATAAAGAAACAATTAAAATAATTCCTGTACTAAAAAAAAAAAAAATAAAAGACGATTGACGAAAACGTTATTAAATATCAATGAAAAAACGTATGAAATAGCGAATAATTAAAAAAACATCGAATAAACGTTATCGCAGGTTTTATAATATCGTAAGTATCGCGAGAGAGGTTATTGAAAATCGATTTTCTACCGAAGATACGTTGTATCTCGTCCTGCAGTTGATGATCTTGCTTGAAATCTGCGAAACAGGAGGTTTGTACAATCGGTGTTTTATGGGGACCGTGCGAGATTCGCCAGAGATAGAGTATCACCTGTAAAAGTAACGAAGTTACGAGGCAGAATCGCGAGGGCGCGATCTATTCGTCAGCACCTGATCGTCGAACACTTTCAAACCGTAATAATCTCTGCTGGGAGAAGGTGCTACCGAATACTTTTCCAGGTATTCGAGCTTACCGCTCATACTCGATGTATGATCCAAATCCGTGAAACCTCCGCATTCCACCTGAACTTGCACCATAATCGATGTACGGTGCAACTTCGCGATTACCAATCA